GTAATACCCACATTATCCCTACACTTCCTGACCTCCAAACCATAGCTCCCTTTGATGGTCATTTTTTTCCATTTTTTGTAGCTTCTCAGCTTACCCCTAATATCCTTCTTCAGCAGCTTAGTATGGGGCCTTTTCTATAACTTCTTCCTCTTCATTACAGATGCAAGTTCCAGGTAGTTTGTGGGTTTTTTAATACTTTTTACACACAGAAATTCCAAGTTTCCTCTATATTCTACCAACTGAGCTTCTAATTTCAACTGATTTCACCTAAAACTTCTCTTAGCTTTATCATTTTATCTTTTAAAAACAAAAAAAACCCCCTTTGGTACAGTCCTATTTTTGTCTGTCCTTCCATTTTAAATTTAATAGAATCAACGTGTGATCACTTGAATCAAGGTCATTTTCTATGATGTCCTCAGTACTTCCTAAAAGCAAGCTTCAGGTAGCATCATCTCTTGTTGGTTCAGTCACTGGATGAAAAAGACTGTCACCTATCACACATATGAATATCTTTGGTTCTTCCCATCTTAATCCCATTCTTGACCTCACTTGCCTCTCCAGCTACTGTCCACCTCCTTGGCTTTTTCATTTCATTTCAGCTCATTGGACACGCTGGTTACAATAACTGCCTGGAATTCATCTCCACTAATTTCATCTTAAATGCCCTCCAATCAAGCTACCACTGTCTGCTGCAGTTCACTGAAACTGTTTCCACCATACAGTCTCTTACAACCCCTTCTTAGCTAAAGCTCAGAACCAGCAAGCCATCTTCATCTTCCTTGATATATCAGCTGTTCTTCTGGAAATCATGCCTTTCCTTGGTTTCCATAATCCTTTCTTCTCCTGCTTCTTTTTCTACCTTCCAAATCTGCCCATGAACCTCTACTCTTTTGTCATGCTTTTCTCTTGGTAGCTGCACCCACAAACTCAAATTCAACTATCACCTCTAAGATGATGACTCACAGATCTACTTCTCTACTCCCGATCCATCTCTTTCCATCAGAACGAAAAATCTTGACCTTTTAATGTCTCCTTGTGGACAGCCATCCACTCCAAATAAGACAACCCTTCTTAATTTCCAATTCCAATACCATCATCATCCATGCTATCATTCAGGCCTGGGGAGTATCTTTGACTCAGTCCTCTTGCTAGATCCTCACATCTAGTACAAAATGTAGATATTGCCAAGATTCCTATTGCCAAAAGATTGTAAGATACATCTTTTCCTATCCATCCATACAGGTGAAGCTTGTGTCCCAATTACTACAATGTCTTTTTATCTGGCTTTGATAAGTACCATCTTTCCCCGCTTGCATCCACTTAGGATGCCACTTCATATCTCATTCTCCTAGTCTATGCTTTCACTGTACCTCTCACCCTGTATCATACCAAAGATAAGCTACTTGTATTTCAATTTCAACACCCTTTGTGCGTATTCCCACCCTGCCTGTCATTTCTCACATTGATTCTGACCTCCAACTGGCTCATGATGCCAGCCTCAATCACCCATGTCTTAAATTTTCAAATGAGCATCTTTGTACTTTTCTCCATTTTCCTCCTCTAAGCTTGGGAAAACTCTCCATAAACATTCACAGAAGGACCACCACTATCCCCCTTCAAGGTCCTCTTCAAAATCTTTCCTTTGCTATGTCCAAAATACTGTTGACAATAGTTACTCAGTTAGGTTCCTGCTGGCTGAGACCACTGTCTATCATGCTGACCAGTAGTCTCATTGTTTCCTTGTGCTCTCCAGACTGTCTGCATCCATCTGTTGTCTCTTTTCTTATGCTTAAATTGTAAGCTCTTTTTGATCAGGACTATATGTTTGTCCAGTGTCTATCTCAGTGGTTTCACGGTACATGACTAGAGCACTAAAGTGCTATCAATAATTAAAAAAGTAAAAGATATCATAATAGCATCTAAGACAAAATCCGATAGCTAAAACTTATAATCTTGGGAAGGTTCACATGGTATCTCTTCATATCCTTGAATGAAGGATATTTTACTATGTATGGTTTATTGCTAAAAAAAAACTAAGGAGTTTGATGCTAATGTACAAGCCTCCTATTTTCAAAAAGGTTTATAATATTTCAATCATTTTGGCAAACCTTTGCTTTTATAAGGCCAAGAAGTCAGCTCTTTCATGACGCTAACTGCGCAGTAGTTTCTGACTAGTTTCTGAGTAGTCAGAAACTACTGTGCAGTAGCATCACGTCACGCTTCCTGAAGTGCTACTGCACAGTAGTCATAAGCTACTGCACAGTGTCTCATGTAGACATGGCCAGAGTGGACTAAATTCATTTATGGACTCACTCTGTTGATGCTTGAATGCTTACAATAAGCAGACATTTGCCCAAAATTTCAAGCTTGTCAACACAGTACTACTAGGCATGTCTACACAAGATGCTGACTGCGCAGTAGCCTGATGCTGCTGCGCAGTAGCTTCGACTGACAAAAAAACGTGATGCATACTAGCATCACAAAAAAGGCATTTGCTGGGACTACTACACAGTAACTCGCATTACTGCCCATTTATTTAGTACTTGTTTAAACAAGTACTAAATCAGCAATTTGTACAAGTACTAAATAAATGTGTAGTAATGCCTGTACAGTAGTGTCTTGTGTAGACGTGTGCACTGTGTGGTAAGTAAAAATCTACCATGTTTGAAATAAGCAGGATTTTTACTCTTCCTTTAATATGATTCGTATGAAATTTTCAGTATGAAATCCATAGAGTTATGTCAGATATAGTATATAAATTTACCTTGATACCTACTATCCTTCATCTGAAAGAATTACAAAGCATTTACACATGTAGCATCACTGAGAGCACCCACTTTGGGGTCACTGGGTCAAATCTTCACTTTTATGAAAACTTATGGATGCTGCACAGGATATTTAAGAACCAAACACAATAAAACAGTGCTTTCAAGTCAAAAGAATGAACTTTTGCTGATGCTGTAAACTACAAGATTAAGGGCTGAGGGGACTCATGAAGGATGTGTGCACTGGGAGTAACCTAGATACTTAACACTTCCTATTTTTTAGGAATATATACAATCAGAAGGAATTACTGTATTTGTTATAAAGAATGCCCAAAGCCATGTATGTCTTACTCCCACTGCCTTCAATTTAACCCTGAATCTGCAACCCAAGCAAGACTTATGTCAACTTTAGAAAGAAAGACAGCACAACACTGGGAAACTCACTGACTACTGGAGGTAACTGATTTTATATAACATTAGGAACTACAAAGCACTGGAAGGTTATAATATCCAGGTAATGAAACACATCAGCTCCTAATTTAGAAGTTCAGAAAAAACCCTTTGATAACTGTAAAAACCAGCTCTGCTTTGCAAGGCAGAATTGCTGATGGAATGCATATTAATAAATAATGCTCTGAATTAAGGCTGTTTATTGACCATGGAAACACACTGAAATCAATAACTAAAACAGGATCAGTTCCCATGCACCAAAAGAGCTTAAAATAATGTAGGTTTCAAAGTTCTTAAGGGGAAAAAGAAAGTTACAATTTTTGGTTATTTTAAAACTGACACGAGAGATTAATGCACATGAAAGATGCCAGTTTGTAAGCCCAAGAGACTATAGTCATCCATTTATACACAAAACAGGTGCAGACTTCTGACACAGTCTCTCTTCCCACAAATATGCTTCAGTTTTGACCTGGTGGGATGAGATATAACAATAAAAGGATAGCTCACTTTCCACACCTTACAGTACTTGGACTCTAGCTAAAACCCAGAAGACATATACCACCTAATGCCAATTGTGATAGAGATCCCTGTAATATGGACAAGAATTTATTAAGAAGAGGACTGAGATCTCCCACCCAGATTTAATGTCAAAGGAGACTGTTTAATAGTCATCACCACTAAAACGTGAAAGGTTTTGAATTTTTTGAATCACATCTATAAGACAGGGTCACTCAGAATGGTTCTGACCTCTGGCAAAACCACCATATGAATGTACTGTTGATCTCCTGCAAATTTCGCAAATATTTTTCCCTTACCCTGCTAAAAACAGGAGGCAGAGATGGGAAATCAGCCACTCATCACGGAAGCAGATTTGAAATAATCTGTTCTGCTTAGGACTCTGTGTACTTCTTGGAAATATGGAAAGAGGAAATACTGAGCATTATCTTTGTGCAGGACAAAGTTTGCTTATCTATCCTGACTCTGTTTTCAGCCTGGCTGCGTATTGCTGTATGCTATGGTACTTTGACAAGAACTCTTTTTTATTTAAATCTCTAAATTATTGACCTTACATGGAGTCAGGTAAGATGTTATCCAAAATGATAAATAAATCAGACCCACCATTTATTTTGTACCTTCCATCCTGAAAAAACGTACACATACAAAAAATTTACGTCAGATCTTCAAGTTGTATAAACTGCCGTAGTTTCATTGACTTCAGTGGATTTATTCTATTTTATTTTATTTGGCCAAATCCTCAGCTGATAGTTCAGAGCCCTCCAGCCACTTACAGAATTAAACCATACATACAGGGCTTGTTTTCTGGCCCCCCTGAAGCACACCTATCTTTGAAGTGAAACAATCCATTCCACCTAGAGGAGATGCAAGAATGGCAGCTGTGGTGGCTACCAGCCCAGCTGCTGCAACTAGCTCCTGCTGCCACCCCTGCTCTGCTACCCAAGACATAGACCCTGGTTGTTATGCCTCTGATACAGAACAGTCTTCAGAATTAGGCTTTGGCTTAAAAATCACAAGTCTTGCAGTAAGTGCCATGAGATCCATGGCCTCAAGTGATCAAAACCCAGTTTTATGCATCTTTCAGAAGACCAAGAGTTGAGCCATAAACCTTGGTCAGACAGTGCAGAGTCCCAAGTTATTTTTTAATGCTAAAACCAGTCTTTGCTTAAAGTTAATAGCATAACTGTTTCTTTGGAATTCAGCTCATTGGGCCAGAGCTCCAAAGTCCACAAGCAATCTTCAAGATGCCACTGTGCCGGTTTTACTCACCCCTAGCCATCTTGCTCCTTTATTGGCAGCCTGTTGAATCTGCACTCTTTTGAGGGTGACATTGTAAACAGCTCCTTCCTCTACCTCTTCACCCCAGTCCTGAATAGAGCTCTGCCATGGAAGGGAAAAAAGAAAGAGAAAAGGATAAAAATGGTATTTTCCCCCCTTCCTCTGCTAACCACAATCTATTCCAGCTGCTATACTGCTTAATGCAGTGCTCAGAGCAGAAGATAGGCTGTACAAAGTAAATATAACAATCAGAGCAATACAAGGCACTTTTCGATGGACACTAACAGTAGGCTGAGATATTCTTGGCAAGCTGTCCTTTCCTGTGGTATCAGGATACCCTGACTTTCCATTCAGTTATTTTTCCGAGACTTGCACATATTTGAAATAGTTTTATAAAGTCTTTTCTCAGAGAAATAGTTTGGTCTTGATTAGTGAACTTTCCCCTCCCCCCTTTTAAAACAATTAATCTCCTTGGTTTTTCATGTATGGAAGGAACTGTACTTTTAAAAACTGTTGAATAACTTTGAAACTTATAAGTATTTAAAGTACAGCCATTCTTTATTTCTCTTGATGTGAGAGAACTAAAGCACTGGTGGGGGGGTATTAATATTCAGCTACAAAACTTTATAGGTTGAAGGCTTAAAGTTATAAATATTTGAAAAGCAAAAGACAAGACTCAAACTTTAATTGAAACATTTACTAAAATGATTCTCCATTTTACATTCCTCCAACTAAGCCCTCCCCCCAATCCCAAATAAATAAAAACAAAAAAACCAAACCATCATAGCTGAGCCAGAAAAGAAATCCTGAATTAATCTAAAAGGATTCAGCTAACTTCCGCTCCCTCTCCCAAATCCTTTCCTCCACTGCCCCACATTAGATACACACACAAAGTCCAATATTTTTGTAGATAAACATTTTCATAGCAGTAACACTCATCAGAGGTAATAAAGCATTATGACGAGAAAGACTTTCAAAGTGGTGCTCAGAAGACAGCAGGAGCACAGAAAAGCTGCACACAAATATGGTTCAGGCTTGCCAGATTCACTCAAAAAGAATACAGCCCAGCTATGGTACAGGGATTCTCCAGCTAGAAAGTCTGTAGAGAAATAAGGAAGCTCTAGTTACCATTTTAACTTTCCAAAACAATTTCATTCTCAGTTTCCTCTTCTCTACATGGACGGAGCATGGTGGATCCTGCTTTGAAGCAACTAGCTTTTACAATCCTCTCACACTTTCCCAGCAGAGTAGACAGCACTCTGCTTCTGTTGCTTAGCTTCTGCAGTCAATTCATGACTACAAAGAGCTGGGAGTGCAGTGCAGAGACGGACAGAGACTCCTCCCCCACCACACACTGTGCTGTGATGTAAGGTTTTCCTGTTTATGCTTATGAACTTAAACTCTCCCTTTCTAAGCTCTATTATATAAAGTTATTGTAAAATAACCCTTCAGTGCCTAGAGACTGTCCATGGTTGCGGTAAGCCTCAGAGTTTATCTTAGTTGCCTGGCAGATATCAGGTGCCAAAATAGAAACGTGGTGGGTTTTTTCCCCCCTTCCTTAACTAAAAGAGACAAAGAGAGAGGAGCGGCAAAGGGGGAGGGTTAGCTACACTTCTATTATCCACTTGTGTAGACTTCTTTGAGTAATCAAATCAGAGTGACTCCAGTGAGACATTAACTGTGTAAAGCAGTCTCACCAGGAGAAGTAAGTGGACAAAAATGACACCTCGATATGTTAAAGACTTTAGAATTGACAACCATTCAAAATGGATCATTGTAACAATACACTGATCTGATGGCGGGACAGGGATGTTTCTCGAAACTTTGCTTAAAAATAATATTAGATACAAGGTGTTTTTAAGACTCAAATTCCAGCAACATGAGACTTGGGAGGTAAAGTTTCCAAACTTCCATTTCTTTTAAGGAAACTCCTTAAAGATTTTTAGTGTTGATCCTCATTATGTTGAAATACAGTTATGTTTATGTATCCAACTCAGTAAATGTACATTGTACTTTACAGAACACACGCAAACAGGCAACATACTCAAGAAGTTATGACGTGTGGGTCAACCTTTCAGGTACAAAGACATGCAGTGTCCTAATGGTAACAGCACAGTAAATCAAGTTTGGAGCTCGTTGCCAATTTGTTTTCAAGCTATGAAATGACAGAAAATGCTTACATTTGGGGGGGGAAAAAGCATCCTTGACAAATGTTAAGATAAACATACTCCACTTCAAAATCAATAATGCAAATAAAAATGTCATCAAGTGATTCCCAAACATAGGTTTTAAAATAGGATTTTTTTTAAAGTCAGAAAACCGGGGGGGGGGTTACAGTTATGGCTGTAAATGTGTATTGGTGAAATAAAAAGGAAACCCTTTAAAAGATCATTCTACTTTAAAAAACAGGCATCCAAAAGGTAGGAGATTCAAAGCCACATTTACAGTTTTTTAAAACACTCCCTGGGTCTATAACCCTTACAGGTTCTTGGCTACTCTCATAATTTGCTCCCAAATTTTTATCTCAAGGGAATACTATTCTCATTACCGGGAATGTACATATAGAGCTCTTAGAAATTGCTCTTCCATCCTTTCCTTACTGGCCACAAGGTCAACATGATAGAAATGTCCAAGAGAAGCTTAGCTCATCTCAGTATACTACCTACCTTTCTCCCAAACGTATAAAACCTTAGAGCTGCACATGGTACATCTTCAGCCTCTGAAATACCAGTCACTCTCATAATAATGCCCCACACTTGGTGTACTAATGTATACCAGTGTGGCAGGGCACTGTTTGTGCCTGCCACTTGCCAGAAGGCAGCAGCCAGCAGGTGCCTGAGTAGGGCAGTCATTTTAGATACAGGGCTGCCCATATAAACAGGGCATTTTGCTGCTGGAAGGCCAGGCAACAATATCGCCTGGCTGCAGGTATCATCTGGAGAATAGGGAGGAGCGGTAGGGGGTGGCCAGGAGGCTTCGGGTCCTGGGCATGACTTAACCGGAACTGCCGGGAGTGAGTGGCCTGGCGGAGTTCTCAGTGGTGCGGGAGTCCCCAGGAAATGCCAGGCCAGTTACCACCCCGGTGAAAGGCGGGTCAGGGTGCCTTAGCCCCTAGCCCACACAACCGGGTGGGTTACCCCTTTGTAGGGTCTGGAGGGTGGACCACCAGAGAAAGACAGTGAGGCCATAGACTCAGGCCTGTCTGAACTTCCCCTGACTGGTCCATGCTGGGGCCAGGACCAGAAGGGTCGAAGGGCCTGGCGCCCACAGCGAGGAATGCCCAAGAGCTGCGCGCCTGCGGTTCCGGCTGGCCTGGAGGTGGGCCAGGGCTAGTGAGCCAAAGGTCCAGGGGAGACCACATCCATAAGGGGGAGCAGCTCAGGGAGCTATGCTGCCTAGTATGAAGGCAGACTAGGCTGCCTGAATGGAGGGATCTAAGTGGGGATCAGCTAGTAGGATTCTGGGGCCCAGTGTGGTGCTGGTGATAGTGATAATATCTGGATGCTATCTGCAAGGCTTGAGCTGCGGTGTAGGGGAGGAACGGAGCCGCAGATCGCGCCCCCTGGCATCAGGGCAAGAAACGGGCAACCTCCCGCTTAACTAACATCAATTAAATAATTAACATCAAGGCGTGGTGGGTGAGAAGGTGGGCGGTTAGCCCAGAAACAGGTGGGTGGGCCACTGGGAAATCGGCCCCCGAGAAGGCCCCCTGTTACAATCAGCCCCTTACTTTTTCACATGAGTTCTACCTACCCTAACTACCAGATCTTCCAATTCCCTCTGTCTTCATGGGCCACCTTCCCACTATTAAACAAGAAAACACCTTCATACCATATGTTCTCTGTATAAGCTGTAAACAACATTGGCCTGTATCTACCATTCCATTCTATGCCACAAAACACATTACATATAAAACACACATCTTGTTTTCTTTCTTAATGTGAGCCTGAGACACATTACCACCCCCACACTATCAGATATCCACATGGACCTTCCCCTGTACAATCACCAACTACAGACACAAGCAAGCCTCAACTAAAGTGCTCTAAGCACCGTCTGTTATCCTTAAATCACCTTAGTGAGACACAAATATCACAGGAACTGTTTTTTCTGTTCAGCAGACTGAAGCACAGAGAAGTTAAGTGCACAGGTTCACTAAATGAGTCAGTAACACAATTCAGAATGGAGCCAGAGTCCAGACTTGAACCACCAGTAGGTTTACTTATATGCATTAGTGTTAATGTTATTAAGTGATGGTTCTAGTTCAGTAGGCTATACAACTTGTAGCTGTTAAAAACGGAAAATAAAAGGAAGTAGGGAACTTTATTTTAAGCTCATATATTAAGGCTGTGGCTAGAAATAACACTTGTAAAGCATTTCAAATGCCTCTGAAAGGCTTCAAAGGGCCAGCTCTACTGGCATATACGCCCTCTGAAATAGTCTCTTTTGAAATGAGGTACTATTTCAAAAGGGACCCTCCCGCACCAAGACCTTTGTACCCCAGCATCCACAGATGCCCCTACCACTGTGCCCCCTGCCTTTAGACCCCCGCTTGCCATGCCACTGCCAGACTCCCAGGCTCTGCATCACCACCTGAGCCAGGCTCTCCAGCCCAATCCCCCTGGCACCCTAGTCTACCTCTCTGCTCCAGCAAGATATGGAGAGGATAGGGGATTAAAGGGTAGGCCTGTACAAATAGGGAAGTATTTGATTTGGATTCAGGTGATTTGGAGGACAGTGATTTGATTCGGAGATTCAGATCACTGTCCCAAATCGATCTGGTTGAATTGGCTTCGGAAGATTAGGTGCCAACTCGGAGAGATTCGGAGATTCAGCCATAGACTATAATGGGGAATCACTATAACTTTGTCATTTCTTGGATGATTTGGACAAAGATTGCAGAGATGATAGCCCCTTCTGAGGGCATGAGGTCTGCCAAGTTTCAAGAAGATAGGTGCAGGGGTTTCTGGGAAACTGTACCTCAAGCTTCTGACAAGCAAAACTCATGTCACATGTGAGTGTTAAGGCACAGCAGGGTGAAAACTGCAGGCATACTAGCCCCTGCTGAGGCCATGGAGCCTGCCAGCTTTCAAGGAAATAGGTGCAAGGGTTCTGGGAAACTGCACCTCAGGCTGCTAACAAGCAAAACTCATGACATGGGTGATACTGTGTATGTGTCAATGTGTACCCTCACTGGCACTAAGGCCTCTACACGACATGGTAGTGTGCCCCAATGAGGCTTCCTCCTCTCCTACAGCCTTATCCCAGTCCACCACTTTAAATGACAACAGGTAATAATAAAATAACTTAGTGAGCACTAGCACAGTAGCACCAGCAGTATCTCGGGCATCCAAACTGTGACAGAGCCTTTCTTTCCTCTCCGTAGGAACTTCTTCTCCAGCGTGTGTGTTAAGGTGCACCTTCACTGTGTGACTGTGTGTGTGTGACTCTGTGTGTGTGCGCGCACGTGTGTGTGTGTATGCACACATGTGAGTGTGTGTGTGTGTGCATGTGTGCGTGTATGTTAAGGTGTGCCCTCACTGTCGCTGGAGCCTCTACATGACATGGTAGTGTGCCTCAATGAGGTCTCCTCCTCCCCTATAGCATCAGTCCGGTCCACCACTTAAAATAACAACAGGTAATAAGCAATGCACTGCAGCACAGTAGCACCAGTAGCATCTCAGGCAACCAAACTGTCACAGACCCTTTCTTTCCTTTCCTTCAGGAGCTTCCTCTCCAGCAGCTGCCAGAAAACTCTCCCTGCCAGCCCCAACCTTGGGACTTAGATGTGCCCAGGGCCCTGCTGCCTCCCAGTCAGCTGACCGGGGACAGGTGCTAAGGGTGTTAGTCTAAGGACATAGCACTGGCAGACAAGGTCCTCTGGGTCAATCTAGTATCTTTTAGTAGACCAACTGAATAGTTAGAGAAATATATCTTAGCAAGCTTTCAGGTTGAAAAACCCTTTGTCAGGCTGAGGAAGCACCTGCAGTTGCTCTGTGTGCGCTGTTCCTGGATTGAAGGAATAGTAAAGAAGCCAGAGGCTGGCATGAAATGCAGGAAAGAAAGACAGTCAGTGAAAATGGAAATGGAGGCATCAGGGGGTGAGGGACAGGCTGGGGTTGGGGGGGGGGGAAGGAGGATGTAGCAGTGCACGTAGAAGTGGAGAGGTACCTGGGGAGTCAGATGGCCGGCAGGTTGTAGTGTGACAGAATTCCACTGTCTAATCTATATTGAGCCCATGAGCTTCTGTACCTAGGAGGCTGATGAAGTGAAGTTCATTGGCC